AGGCGGCTCACGGAGAGGCGGTTTCCAGCGAACACATCCTTGCCGGTGCCAGGCTTTCCTCTCCGGGCCGCGGGGTGGGCGCCGCCTCCCATCAGCGGTCGGCGACGGGAGCAGTGGATGCAGGTGCCCGCCCGGGTGCGAAAGGCCTCCCGGAGGGTAAACTGGCGTGTGAGAAGCGGTGCGAACCCTGGAAAATCAGAAATTACATTTTGCATTTCCGTATCTTACCAGTCGCCCACGTGCTACAGTGAAACTCGCTATGTACCTTTACACTGATTGTTCACCCTGTCTGCGCTCTGACTGACTGACGTACGTTTCGTCACAGCACACTGCCTTTTTCCTTCCTCCCAGACACTTTTATCTTGTAAGTCTCTGGTGGTGCAAATGACTTAGGAATGCTTCAATGCAATCAAACGAAAAGAAACTGTCTTTCTAATTTAAGAGGCGTTCCAGTTCTTTTCACTGTGTTCCCTTCTGTCACACTTTCTTGCTGATAACTTACTTGTCAAGATGGTATAAGTTGAATAAAGAGAACATACAAAATTTTTTACCTCTCAGAAGTTAACAGATAGAATTTTGTTGCTTTGTCATAGCTTCGTTTTCTTTTTCATAAGTTGTTTATACATGATTCGCTTTGTTACCACTAATATTTCAGTTTAAGGTAGATGTCATAGTAGTAAGTCATGCATTTGCTATATAGGGACCTTGATATTAACTGCTTAAAGGAAAATCAATGTAACGGATGAGAGTAAAGAATTGTTTTAACTATAGAAGATCAAATTCCAAGCCCAAGCCAGTGATACTACCCACAATTCCAGCTTTTAACAAATACAATCATTACCGTAGAGTGAAGAACCTTTTATTGTTTGCTCTCATGTTTTCCAAATACAGGGCTGGTGTATACCCTCAGTGCAAAACACAGAATGAATTCTTCAGATACGAAATATATTTCAGTTTCTTTTCCACACGCCTGCAACACGAGTAAAAAAGATTCTCCCCAAAGCATACTCATGCAACCAGATTTCCACCCTGCAAATTGGAAAAGGCCGTCTGTAAGCGAAGGGGGCTTTCCCTCAAGTCTGCATGACTCCCAAGAGTCTGATTCTGAAAGCCTTGTTCAGGAGAGACTGTATCAGTTAGAACTCCAGCAGCGGATTCGTGAAAATGAAGAGCTGGTAGGACTGTATTCTGAGGAGTTGGAGAATGACAGCTTAGAAGAAGATAGCTTGGAGGAGATGAGTTTAAAAGAACAAGAAGGAGCTGAGTATGACACAAATCGATATACAAATGGAATACAAAAGAATGATGGTAATGGAAGGTAAGGCATAGGATTTTAGTTGATGAGTAGAGTAGTTCTGACACTTTAAAACCTTGTGCTCCTCAGAACATACATTACATATTCACAACCAATTTATATTGCCAAAGTGCTATCAAGAGCACCTACGGACTTACTTACACACGAAGATGTACTGTTTCATCTTGCCCACATTCGTAATTATTATGCCCATTTCTCCAACATAGCCTCAACTGTTTACTGGCTAAAACACCAGTGTAGGAAAGTAAGATGGAAAAGAAAACATCCCTCACAGACCTGTATAGGCTCCCCACGCACTGGCTCTAGACGCTGCATACAGAGGCGAACGCTATATGCCTATTTAGGTGCCTGTAAAACAGGCAGGCGAGAAGGTAGGAAGTGGTGAACAGATACATGCTAACCCCTACTCTTAAACATTACTGGGTAAGCTAATGGGGGAGCATTTAACTAGGGTTTTTTCTGGTAAAGGCCTATTAAATGTAGATCCCCTCTTATTCCTGTCTACTTGATCCAGAACTGCAGCCCGTGGAAGGAGTCCAATGACCGTAATGGGCTGCGGACCAGGCACTACGATATTTAGCAGTATGTGCTGGCTAGCATCTCGAATAGGCAACCATTGCCATGTAAGTGTCAGACCTTCAGATGGTGCAGCAGCTCCGAGATCATGGCCTAGAGGGTTTCTGGAGCTGGGCTGTGAAAAAGGACCAGAGAGAAAACAAGGACCGGTACCAACACATCCTCTTTTCGTTCCTTGCAGAAAGACCTGTGCTGAGCAAACCAGGCCACTTCCTGTAAGAAAACTTACAAGCAAAAATTGGTGGGTTGAATAAATGCAGTTTTGTCCTTATAGCTGTATAAATCTAAAATTAACATTTCCAGGGTTACTGTCACCTTTAAACATTCTTTAGAAAGCGTTAACTTGGTACATAAAATTTAATTTGCTGTCATATGCATAAAAGGTTTAACACTGTATAAATTGGGAATAATTCTGAAGTTTAAAGGGATTAAATTAAACCTGAAGTAATAATAATGTGCAGTTTCAATTTAATTGTCTACTTAAAATAAAATGGCAAACAAATGAAGGCTAAATGATTAATAGAACGCTTTTATTCACCTCCTCCACAGGCAAAATGGCCAGTTATTGAATATTTTATTGTGAGTGCAAATGATGTTAATTGTACTGGAAACGTGCTCTAATTTTTAGTAATTTTTTTGACTGAATACTATGCTGAATGTGAGGCTCTTCATTAAATGGAAATTTGATTTTATTTTGTTTGAACTTAGCCTAGTAAGTACTCAAATACAGTCCATTAACCGGAGCAAATATCACAGCATATACATATGAAACCCCCTCTCTACATCCATTACTAACCTCGGAATTTGAAGAGGAAACACTGCATCTGTTGTCTACATACAACACTTTTGTTGATGAGTACAGAGTCCATCTAACCTTTATATCAAGTTGGGGGGAGGAATAAAAGGTGCACTTTTTGTCTGCAGATGATCAGAGATGAAGGAGCTCTTCACACTCGTTTTGTTCCCATGCAGTGACCTGGCCTGCATAATACAATTGAGCTGCTGTGCACACATTTCAGCACAATAGAACTCTTTAGCATTATACTCTGTTATTTGAATCATTGCAATTATATCACATATTCCTGTACTCGTTTCAAAATACGGTCGCCTATTTTTGTTTACCTGTGGTGTGTGACAACTAGGAATAAAAATGTTTTCACCGATGTAAATCATCTAATCTCTGGTATACAGGATACCACGGCACCAATGCTTAGCTGAAATGAAAAGCATTGCTAGAGAAGCAGATTATTTTATTATTAGGAACCACTTGAAATATAGGCATAGGCATGTAACTAATTTAGAAAGGATGAATAAATCATTTATGGAAATGTTACTATAATTAACTGTGTCACAGTTTGGAGAATCCAGCAGATCAGTACATCTCTGTACTGTACATAGGGGCTGAAGAGTCAACCAGGTTTCAGTGCCTATAAATGTCACTTTGAAAGGCTCACTGTTTGTCAGTGTCCAAGAAACCAGGACTATACTGCAGGTCCAGTTCAGAAAAAACAGCGTTAAAAGCTTTTTTCTCCCACGCTCCTTACTCCTGCCACTGCCTGCACGTCTCCTGGAAGCCAGTTTGTATGTCTTTGGCTCCTGCAGTTGCTTTTCCTCCTGTTGGATCAGACTGTAAATCATAAACAGAATCAATTGTGGTATTT